TATATATATATATATATATATATATATATATATATATATTAAAAATCCTTTTAATTCAAAATTAATTCAAATTTAAATTTTTAGTTTTTATTAATAAATCTATTCATAATAGAAATAACTATAGGAATAGTTTATAATTTTATCTAATTTGTATTATTTATCTATTTGTATCAAGATAAATGTACTAGATTAGGAACTAATTAAATTGCTGTTTATAATTCGCTTCTCGTCATATCCATACTGTCCCCCATGTTCTCCCTCTCACTGTCCAACCAGTTAATCCACGTATTATTGTGAAGCTTAGGATCACTGCGCGGATCAAGTGAAGTGAATAAGGAGTCTATAAGCGGCGGTACAGACGTCTCGTTAAAAGCAACCAATTTCTGCCACAAGAACTTCACAAACTGGGGATCCGTTTCCCCAATCAGGTTATGGTATTCGCACGGGTCGTCCCGTATGTTAAACAAACACAACTCAGTCGTGCAGTCATTGTTGGCCGGGTCGGTAGGTTCGTGTGGTTCGCACTCTACCACCGACTCCTTCAGCACCTCATAATCGGGTCGTCTATTCATTTGCGATAACACTTGATATGATTTACTATTCACGCGATCCTTAGACTGCAGCGTTTGTAACGATTTTCGGTTTAAAGCTATGTTTGGATAGCCCAGGGGTCGCGCCCATAGGCCCGACCTTTTTAATGATTTATCCTGAATAAGTTTCCAATCGTACCACCGAATGGCCGACGTATTAGTCACGCAATCGATATTATGTATGATTTCCGTTCGCACCGGGAGTTTATTATTTGATAGTGTATTCCATTGAGATTTACCTTAAAAATATTTAAGCATTTAATAAGTTATGAATAATAACTAAATTTATTGCTCCAGTTAATTGAAACTGTTTCTCATTTTCACAGACTTATTTTCACAAGTACATTTCAAACTGACAGTACCTATTTCAAATATTATATCATTTAATATGAATTAATAAATCAGTAAGTAAGACATTTTAATGTTATTTCTTATGCTCCCTGTACCAACTTAACATGTCACGTGCTTAATTAATTACTAAGTTATATATTAGCATACCGTAAATAAATTGCTCGTTCAATATGCCGGTGCTGTTATCGACGGCATCTAAAATGGTGGGCAATATATCTGTCACGTGTATCATAGCGTCCGACACGTAACCACTTTTGTTCAACAATGGACTCCATATGAACGCCGGAACTCGTATACCTAACACACAGTGAAAATATATGACACAAAGTGTATAATTATTGTCAATACTAGTTGTAATTTTGAAATATCTAAAATTGTCATGGTAATACAATATACCTCCCTCAAAATACTCCATTTTCATTCCCCTTAGCGGCCAATTAGATCCACCGTTTGCTATAAAATAAAAAATCCATATATTATAAGCCCCGGTAGGTGAAAAAATTCAATTACTCAAATGAGTGCCAGTGGCACCCCCATTATCGCTCATAAATATAATAATACTGTTTTCCAACATTTGTCTCGAGTGTAGGCGCTCGACAACCGCACCGATCGACTCGTCCATACTGTAGGCCGCGGCGGCCAACCCTCGCCTCAT